GGGGGGAAGCCCCACTAAGAAGTAATGCATACCTTTTTTTTTAAACTGTGCTTTATTTAGGGCTAAGCCAGTAAGCGTCATTCAATAATTACAGAAGATTACAAGGAGTTTTAGGGAATTGAGAATCAGAGAGCAGTTGTATGGAACTGCTGCGGCATTTATACACCTAGCTTTGGGCTTTTTCTTTTTTCTTTTTTGGGCGGTCTTATCCCAGCCAAACAACCAGCGAAGACCAGGGGGTGTTTAGCCAGCATAAAGACGTCAAAATCAGGCCCAACAGGGAGAGAGAAATAACATTTTTTTTAAAAAATAATAATCCCTCGAATCTAACAAAACGGAAAAAACAATTAATTCAGAAAGAACCATGTCATTTTCCTCATCTAGTAAAATGGAGTAAGTGTTGGGAGAGCGAGGAAAATAAAAAAAAGAAACAACACGCCGTTAAATACAAGTCTTAACACAGTGGAAATAAATTATAATAAATATGATATACTTTAAAATATATGTGTTCATAAATAATTCATGTTTCTATTTTCTGAGTCAGATTTTAAAGCAACTTCTTTTTTTTAAAACTGCTCTAAAGTCATTTACCAAAGATAAATATCGTGCTTTCCTTAAATAGTTTTTCCTTGATTTTTTTTCTCTATCATTACAATTAAAAGTCCTACAAAATATGCAAATTTATTTACAGAAAAACAGAGCCAGCATCTTTTTTTTAAACATCCCCCTGTTTTTCAAAATTCCTTGTAAACAGTGTCAGAAATTCTTCAGAGATTGCATTTTTATAATTTTTTTTCTGTTTTTGATTTTTTAAAATTTTTTTAAATGTTTTTTTTTTCTCTCTTTTTTTTAAGATTAAGGTTCTAGGCTAAACCCCGTTCCCACCCCTCACCCTTGTCCTGAAGGATTCTATAGCAAATATGGAAGCTACGGAAGCGAAAGATGATGAGAGGTTGCTGGCAACAGCTTATGGAAACATGAAAGCGTCTTAGCTGTGATTTTGTAGTTTTTTTAATTTTCTTTTTTTCCCAAGTTCCTACGAACTTTTGGATAGTTCGTAAGAAGACAGCGATTCGGTTTTTGATTTGCGTTGTCTACAGGAATTGAGATTTTTTTTCCTCTGTTTAATTTGCTTATTGGTTTATTGATTTACTAGCTGGAATGCTTGCAGTTAAAAAAGCTGCCGAGTTAAGCCATCTTGTCCTTGGCCCCTCCCCACCCCTCCCACCCCCTTGATAAGACACAGCTTCCAACGGCAGTTGGCTGAGAGCAGGAATTGATCTCAATCTAAACTCTACAAAAGTTACAAGTTCTACAACAGCTTTGTTTTTTTTTAGCATTAATGCTAACTTCTATGTATTTTTTTTGCATTTTTTTTTCATTTTATGTCACCTAATTCTTTTCCCCTATTATATAGGTATTTTAAACTTCTTCTTCTTCTTTAAATTCTGTACAACTATTAGGATTGGGGGCGCAGGAGGTCAAAAGCATTTACAAACTGGTTTCTTTCTTCTTTTTCTTCTCGTTATCCTCCTCTACTTTCCATTCCACTGGTCTATTTATCTCTGGTGGTGGTGGTGGTGGTGGTTTTCACTTTTCATAAGTCACCCAACCTTAACCTGCCCCCTTTCATCAGTCAGTCCGCACATATGATACAGAAAACCATATGAAAGTTTCATAGACTCTAATTTAAGGTATAACCAAAGATCCTCCCAAAGTATCAAAGAACTATTATCTTGCCATTTTTTTTAAAAGCGTTTAAGCGTTTCCCCTCCCCACCCAGTTTTTACATATTTCATATAATTGCTCTCAAAAACTGTTATAGGAACAGCTCAAGAGAAAAAGGAAAGAACGTCTGTAATTTACATACAGCTACAAGTCTGCGATAAAAAGTTATGTCCTTTGGTCCCTATATAGCTAAGGAATGACAGATAAAGATGCTCAGTGACCTAGTGCCATGGGGTATCCATAGCAACCGCATCCTTGGTGGCTAACAGGCACTCCTTTTGTCAGTATCAAGGTTTGCATTTCCTGTTTGGAGAAAAGCCGCTGCGGTGACACCAGTTTCTCTGCAGAGATCCTAGTCGGTTTTGATCCTGTCGTGATTTTTTGTCTGTTTACTTCTTTCTGTTGTTAGTTTTGTTGTTGTTGTTGTTGTTGTTGTTGTTGTTGTTGTCTTGAGCATACGTGTCCTTCGAACCCAGCTGACGTGACTTTTCTTGAAGAAATGTTATACAGTCTAAACAATCAGAAAGAGAGTACATCTGAAGTCTTCAGCTTGACGGATATTTGCTGATATGTTAAAGGTGTAATCCAACAGTTCTCGTTCGTATATATAT